GGGGGGATGTAAAGGGTTGAAAAGATGCTCAAGAAATGGAAATGAATTGGGCAAACCCTGAGGAGACCCCAACAAGCATCATCAGACAGGCTTTGACGTGGAATCCACAAAGAAAACGTAAGAAAGGAAGACCAAAGATGACATGGAGGCGAGCGGTACAAGCGGAAATGGAAAAGGCGGGGACATCATGGAAACAGCTAGAAAAGGATGCTCAGGACAGGGCTTCGCTTGAAAAATGTCGTTGAAGCCCTACGCTCCACTGGGAGTTAAAAAGGGCAAGAGAGAGAAAGAGAAAAGACGCTCAAAGACGCTCACCCAAGCAAGTGCGTGGCCACTGAGGGATGAGCGGTCAGCTTGCCCTGGTAGAGCTGCTCCGAGGCCCAGCTCATGATGTCCTGGTGCATGCGGTACTGGGTGGTCAGCATACGCACCACGTCGCGGCCCTTCTCTTCCGACAGCATTTTCAGCAGTCGCTCCATTAGGGTTAGCTCCAGGCCCTCTTTTGCTGCCCTAGAATCACAACAGTAGTACACATTAGAAATGGTCAGATGCCGCCCTGGAATCGCAACAGTATACATAAGAAAGGGTCAAGAGCTGCCCTGGAATCGCAACAGTAGTATACATAAGACGAAAGGGTCGAGTGAAACGCAGGTTAACCTTATCCGTACGTCGTACGTCCTGGGGTCATTTTATTTTGTACCCCCGGGTTTGTATTCTTCACATTTTAGAATACTTCTAGTACGAAGATCACTTTGAAAGTTTCAGTATTTCTCAAAAAGTCATTTTGACACACTGCAATACAAAGCGTACGGATCAGATTAACAAGTAAATTTCCTCTTTGGAAAGTGGTGGCACAGAGTTCCTCACGACATCTACATATGATAGTAAAACACAACGTACAGATAGGGTTAAGTCACATTCATCCAACCAACCATGACAATGACGTACCTTATTTTAAACCTTTTTTTTAATGATAGTCTTGGCTTGTTCTTAACTTAATTTGCTCTAACAAAAATACAGTTTGTAAATGACTTAGTCGGTTTTTCACTTAACTAATTTCATAAGAAAATTTTACAGGTACTGTTGTAAGTTAATGACTCGTTACCTTTCTTATTTTTACTGAAAATGGACTTATCCTGTTTTTCAATTGACCCCTTCGTATACAAATATAACATACACATGCACACATAGACAAAATTGGAAAAGGGTTGTTGGGGGGGGGGGGGGGGGGAATAGCCTCCCTCTTCAATAATTGTGCCTTCTGGTGATGATGCACTGTTAATAGTAATAAAGCATGAATTACTTCCTGCAGCACTGCAGACAAATTAGCAGAAACCACAAAATGTATGTGAATCAATTGCAAGATAATTAACAGACGAACTTGCAAACCTATGGACTTGCACTAAACTTTGAACACTTCAGTGCTCAGTGATGTAAATCTACCAGTCGACTCAAAGGAGCTTTGGGGTATAGACTACGGCTCGAAAAGTGTAACTTATTTTTATTTCTCATCAGTATTTTACACACATGCGGATAACTTTAGAACGACAGATGTACGCCATTGGCCGATATTTATAGTAACAACCATCTTGTTTGACTTCATTGAGGGATTCCCACTTTGTTGTCGTTCACGGTGACAACACAACCTCAAAGCACTATTGCAGTACTTTTAAAGCCTGTAGCTTACAGTGGCATGGTGGCGGAGTGGTTAGTGCGCTTGTCTCCAAAGCAGAAGTCCAGGTTCGAGCCTCGGTTCGGCCACTGATTTTTTTTTGTGGCTCAAAGACGTCAAACAAGATAACTGTTATCATAAATATCGGCCAATGGCGTACATCTGTCGTTCTAAAGTTATCCGCATGTATTTTACACACAACTTACTCTTTCGACAAGATGGTGGGCGGCAGCTGTAGGTGGTCGCCGGCCAGGACACAACGAGGGGCGCGCAGGAGACTGATCCAGCACGCAGCTTCCAAGGCCTGACCAGAGAAAGAGAGAATATGTCGCTGCAGTCAGGTAACACAAAATGCCTTTTCTTTCACTTTTGGAGCCAAATTCTTTTTATATGCTAGCCAGATTGAAAGCCCGATCAGTTACCCTACTTGTGTGAAAAAAACAAATACAAAATGAAGCTGTGACAAGGTTTTTCTTTGGGGGGGTTTTTTGGTTAGTATTTTACGGTGCTCGGAACTGCATAAGGTCACATGAACGCGCAGGACATATTAAACATTTTCAGTTGGTAGGAAATTTTGAATATTGCCCACTATGTAAAATAGGTGTCAGAAAATAAATATGACGTCTTTAATGAGCTACTTTACAATGTAATCTTTAACAACTGAGGCCTCTTTTAGACAAGTCACAAGACCTTTACGCATTTAATGACACACAATACACACAAACCTGTGAGCATTCGTCGATGACCACCAAGTCGAAGTGGTCGTCCTTCAGATACTTCAGCGGACCCTCCGGCGAAGAGCTGGTCAGCGTAACCAGCACAACATCTGCCCGGGAGAGAATCTCTCGCGTCGCGGCTGCCTCCCGTTCAGAGGCCTCTCGCCGTAACAGCTTCATCTCCTCCCTCAGAGCAATGCGCTCCCCTCGCCCTCTGGCCTTTTTCATCTTGCTCTGAAAAGATTGGTGGCAAAAACATCCGTATAGTTAACAATATCTAAAGTAAAGAAAACAAACTAATTCAAAGGTCAAAATATTCAGGAAGCAAACAGTTCCATTCAGAAAAAAAATAAGATTCAGGGGGTAGAAATGTTCAGAAAGTAATCAGTTCAATTCAGTAACATAATAACATTTTAGACAGCAAGCATTAGTTAACTAAGAATACAAACCATTTTCATTTTTATGGATTTACATATTCTAAATGGGAACATGCCTGCGTTATGTTAACTGAGTAGAATCATTGTAACTTATTATGAGTCTTTAACTAAATAACAGCTTAAAACCACTAAAAAAACTGACAATGTAAACTTTGAACCATTCTTTCATCCAGTTTGTGAAAAAAAAAATTCAGTAATAATGCCTAAATTTAAGAAATATTGGTTGTAACAGCCTTTTTTCAAATTGAACCTTCTATACTCATGACCTGTAAATATCGGTGAAAATCTTCTCGACCAAGAAAATCCATTAGCCTTAAGAGAACACTAAAAATATCCCATTGTCTCTGGCATGATTTTAACCTCATTTCTTCCATTTTGCAATTTAAAAGAGTGTGTCCCTTCACGAGGAATATTTCAGGAAAATATCTTGGGGAAAAAAGTCCACCAAACCTGGTATTCCCAAAAGATGATGACACAGTCACTGCCCGCCACATTGAGTAGTGCAGATACCCCTCAATTAATACAGCAGTGTCCGCTTAAACCAAAATCTGAGAGACCGTCAAGTTTTTTCTTTGGTTTAGCCCTGCTTTAAGTCTATAGAGATTGCTCAAATAGCAAAGAGTAAAATCAGGTTTTGTTTTCTCTCGATTTACTACTGTTTTTAGATTTATCTCTTGATTTACTACTGTTTTTAGATTTATCTCTTGATTTACTACTGTTTTCAGATTTATCTCTTGATTTACTACTGTTTTCAGCTAAAGTAAAGCATATATCCCACGTAGTAAAAGACTCAATACTGTCTTACCAAAACCTTCTGCATATCTGTTCTGACATCCTTCACGATGCTTTTCTCCTCACTGCCCGCCACAATCGCGTCCAGAGAAAACTTCTGCAAGTGAGTGAGCAAACGAGCCGGGTGACCAATCCGCACTATCCGCTGTTTGAATCCAGCCAGCCTTTCTACCAGGTTGTCAACAGCGATGTTTGAGGGAGCTGTGGCCAACACCTGGAGGAGAAGAACAGAAGAACATGCGCTGAAAATGTAACATGCAATCCCTGAAACTTCAGAAACCGGGACATACAGTATTTTGGTCAATAGAACTTAGAATATTTTCATTGAATATACAATATTTTGATTAATTGAACATACAATACATTGGTTCACTGCAAAGTTTGGAAAATAAAGACAGAACTTACAAAACTTCATGGACAAATATTTTGAAGGAAAGTTTGAATTTAATGTGCATAAACAATAAACATTAGTAAAGCTCAGAATTTTTTCTGAGAACTTCACATCCTTTTCAGCAGGTAGAAGTAAATATCATATCAGTAGCTGTTATGTTG